CTGCTTGCTTTGGCTGTGATGCGACAATGTTGTACACGTCCCCGGGAAGGGTTCAGGCATGGCAACAGTGTATAGATAGATAAGAACACAAAAAGAACCGGAGAAGAAGCTAAATCTGAGATCTTGTGAGCTGATTTGTGGGTGAGGAATGCGAGGTGCGAAAATCTTCAGATCGTCGAAGATGGATAACACAGTTGTAGGGCAGGTTGTCTACTCTGAAACACGATCGACTTTGAGGTCGATGATGGGGATAAGCAGGCTTGTTCTGATTGGCAAGTTGTCTCCTACACCGCAATGTTGCGGAATTGTGATTGTGAGAGGAGCCTCATGAACGAACCAGTTAGATTATTGGATTTTGTCTCCTTGTGCAGACCAGCGAATCCGATGGACTGAGCCCTGCGACCAATGCACAACAAAAGAACACACAGAGAAAGAGACCAGAAAGTCGATGCTGGATCGTGATCAAACACGTCCGCAGTTTCATGTCTGCCCGCATGCCACATATGAGACATCGGCAGACTGTCATAATGCGATGAGGTGAAGGTGCTCCTGTGAATATTTTTTTGTTGTGTTTCAGCACCGTCCACCCCCAATGAAGCAAACGACTAGCTCACGTCATGAAGTAAAGTTATGGATTCCATTCACAGCTTATTATAATTGTAGGATCTTATGATACTACGTTTTACCCTACCAAGTCCGTAGTGTTATGCTAGATTAATTCGGATATTGTCATTCTTTGACAAGCCTTTCATCTTGCAACCAATAATAGTGAAAAAGACATCCATATCTTTCGTTGATGACTTTTATCGTATATAATCCATGACAAGAGATTTGATCCATATAAATACATTCTTTCCAATCTTGCATGGGTTAAGATTAATATAATAGAACAAACTTATATATATATATATATATACATACATACATACATATTGTAATCTACTCGGCATCATTTTTAATTGTTTAATAGTGATTGTATATAGGTATGTCACTTGTACAATATACCCTATGGCATTGTTGCTTGCAACCGATCATCAAAAAATTACACCTTGGTTGTATATCATCATATACATCTTGATTATTCATTTCTTCCTATGATATTACAATACATGCGGAGATCTAGATAATTGATTGATTTTATTTAAAACAAATATATTTTTCAGGATGTTATAATGAATGTTTTATTTAGTAACAAGGTAAGGACGAAATGTAATAAATTATGCATTTAATTATTGAAAACAAATTAATGTCAAATTTCATATAAAGAATTTCTAATTGTTGAAGTTGATATCAGACATGTATTCAACATGCAGATGACATTCATCATCTTTGATGAACGATGAGAGGTTAGAAAATTAAGTACTCTTTTTTTACTTTTTAAATAGATCGATATCTTTAAAGTTTAATAAAAAAATTGAATCAATTTTTGGAAAATTTAACAATAAATAAAATAATAAGTCAATGCTATACAAGAAAGCTGATATAAATTCTCATCGAAAAAAGGTTTTTTCCAATAAATGTTGATACATGTTTTATGAATAATATTTTTAGTTACATAATTTTCAGAAAAGATAATTACATGTGTAATATTATAGTTTGTTGATATTCATACATCAAAAAACTTTAGTATAATGCATGAACATATATATATATATATATATATATATATATATGAGATATTTTCATTTAGGTTCAAAATGTCAAGTTTAATGAGAACCATATCATGATTTTAATTACTGATTGAGTTTGGATTAAGATTAAGAAATTCATGATCATGATATATAATAAATTTCATTATATAAGGAATTGAAATTTTGAAAGATATAAAAGAAGAATGAAAGACTTAAATGTTAAGTGTCATGGATATTCAAAGTTGTTCTTGTTTGATTATTATATTTGATATCTCTACTTGCATCATTTTAGACATCGGTTTATCTATCATTTGAGTCATCGTTTTATGTGAGTAGTAATTAAATATTGAATTCTTTTATGAAGTATCAACATTACATGATGAAAGCAGAGCGTTTACATGTGTTTTCATAGATTGCAAAAATGTTGCAAAACTTTGAAAGTATTAAAAATAAATCACGAAAAGCTAAGTAAGTCACTTTATTTTCAAAGTGAAAATTTCACTCAATCAAAGCATTTTGAGTGTAAATTGGTAACTGAGATAAGATATATGTGGTCAAAATTGCATACATATTTTGATTATCGTAAACTTAATAGTTTGGCTATAGAGGATATCAGATAGACAAGCTATGGTGCGAGCGATTTGAGAGTAGAGAAATTCAGACAAGTAGCTACAGTGGTGGTTGCTCATGCGAAGGCGCTGCGGATCGATCCAACATTTAGGATATCTTGTGCCGGCACAAAAGAATCTTTTCTACTTCCTCTGACCCTCGAGCTAGAAGGAAGGTCTACAATTATGTCGTCATGACTTTCCTGATCTTCGAGCAGGTTCTGGTCACTCGACAACCATGACACGTTTGGAAGACACAGATGATTAGAAGAGAAGAGAGAAATTGGATTGTCTTGGATCCAAACCCCACAGAAGCTCGGCAAAAGCTGGTTGATCTCACACAATCAATTTACCCCAAACCCTTTGCTATCTTGACACTGGATATGTATCAGTAAACGTGGTAAGTGGGAAAAGTTGATTCTTAGCTCTCGCCTCACACTATCACACAGTGATTACGTCTTTTACTCGATGAACTAGTCTTGGGGGAGAAAACGTGCGAAGATGATTGAGTCCACAAGGATGTAAAAGTTTGATGCCATAAGAATCAGTCTTCGCTTCCATCGTTTAAGACTGGTCATTTACACCTCTGCTTAACCGTTTCAGGATAACGTCATAACTCATACAGTAGTAATAACTAGTCCAGGGCTGATTGTCTGCTGTCTTCAACGCAGCATGTGCTCCCTAATAGAAATCAAGCAGAGAACGTCCACTGGAGGAGAACAATCAGTATCCTTAACTAGACGATACGATTGACCGAAAGTTGTCAGAAGACTAAAATGGTCCGGCAGTGTGAAATTTCCTGGACAGATTAATTGTAAAGCTGCAAGGCTTAGCAGGATAACTCCATGGGAAGCGGCTCTCCAAAGCTGACGTCTTCAGCGTTCCAAAGTTAGCAAGCTTTCGAGATGAATGTAGCGGAGCACTAAATGAAAACCTTACGGCTGCTACTTTAGGACATAACGAAACCTCTCTAAAGATAACTGGCCAATCTCATCGGACAGTTCTGTATAGAACAACTCCCACTTGGTTTGTGAAAACCCTGTTGTTGTTTACTTTCTGCAAACAAATAGGAACCATGTCCTCAAACTGTGGTCGATTTTGGCATACTAAGGATTAGAATTTGTTTCTCTTGCTTTCCCGTCAATGTTGCCCTGGCGAAGAGATTTGTAAGTGGTCAGGATGTTTCAGTTCAACGTAAGAATGTTCAGTTATTTATTTAATATCAATTTCACATTCACTTTTTGCGAGATGCTTATTTGATTGCTAGAATAACTAAATATAATCCTGAGCTTCTTACACTACTTGGCGAATTATCCAAACAGTGGGCTTGGACTGCCGTCCAAGGCACCACTGCCCTACCAAGGATAGCCGAGAACGCTCTTGTTCAAGCGCTGTCTCTTGCAATACATGTTATAGAAGCCTGGCCCACAAGAAGTATCATTAGAACATAAGAAAGAAGCTTCTGCATCAAGTGGCTTCGCTAGAGCCATTTGTCCTCTACTGCAGTTGCTTATCCACCTAATAATCCGAGATAATGCGACACACTGTATGTACTGTATCCAACTCGATCGGACTGAAGATCATGATTGCGGTTGTCATGCCGGTGTAATCTGCAGACCATATATCCAAATGATTACTAAGATTGTAGTTTCAAAGCCAAGTAGATCAAAGAATAAAATGGTAAGACCGCATGAAGATGAAACTAAAATACCAATAGTGGCTAGATCCCAATAGTATGAAAGTGAGAAATCTAAAGGTAGCTAAAATACTGAAGTATGTAGATCACATGTCTAAATAATACGTCAAATGTTGCATCGTCTAACTTGATTGTTCTACTATGTATGATACTAGCAAATGCTATCTGTAAAACAAACACGTAGATCATAACAGGCCATAACAGATCTTTCAAAAGATAAGTATAAACTTTCCATGTTCATGTGCACTCTCTCACAAAACACCTAGAAGTCAGCAGACAGATTTTCATTTACATCCAATGTTAGAGTAAAAAAGAGTTGGAATCTTTGCATATCCATTAATATTTTGGCTTATTTTTCTTCTCTCGCCTATCCAATCAAATGTATAATTATCATCAGATTATCATGTTCAAAACTGTTCATTTGCACGATTGGAACTCATGCAAGAACCAATTTTTATTCCATATATTAATTTTCATAAGTATATTCGATTACTACATAATAACAACTAGCTCCCTACAATCTTTTGCTTTAAGCTATGAGCGTCTCTCGCAAGTATGAATGTGTCATCGTCGTACTCACATCGTTTGATAACACAGGTAGTGCCCTCAAGCGTCACGGCCGATTAATTTTGACTTCGTAGAGACTAGAAACACTTTAAGGTGCATTCTAGTTGTCTCGTTGTCAAATGGACATTGCTTCGTGGTTTGAACGGGTTGAACGTTTGAAAAAGTATTGCTTTTGAGCGATTTGCTTCTCTGTATTTCACTCCTCACTCATTTTCATTCAACAGTATGATCTTTTTTACTCAAACCAAGGAGAACCAAGTTTCATTAGATGATCGAACACTTTTGTATTGTTAGTTCACGATCTACATTCATTATCTCGACACAAACACTAAATAAATTGCATTACAAATGGGCAAAAACATCCACAAGCTGGTAAAATAGATACTTTCCAATCTTCAACCAAATCCCGTCAAACGAAAAAACTCTGACTTCAAATTTGTCAGTTGATTTAAGCAAAGCCATTTCCATCTACAAGAAGTATGAGTAAGAAGACCATTCGCCAGACCATAACTAACACTCCAATCTCTATACAGTTGAAAGCATGAGATTCAACTTCTTCACGTTTCCACGTCAAAGATATTGATAAGATACGCTCCAAGGAAAAACATGCCGAGACTACCAACCACAATACAACTCTCTCAATCCTCACAATCCTCTGGCCCCCTTCCCCTTTAAAAGACCCACATAAAAACCTAAATACATGTCATTGAGGTCGATAGCACTAGCTGAAAACAATCGTCGGCGGCGGCCAAATTGTGGCAGTCGTTAATCTGGTATGCTCACCAGTCTTCGAAACTACCACTACGTCAACAAAACCATAAATCGAATCAAACATCCCTATTTGAAGTCCATTAGCTGAAGTTGATCTGGCAGGTGCAGACATGGCCAACCCCAATGTCAAACCTACGACCATGACGTCCTTTGAGACCACGGCTTGATTCCCTGCATCATTGGCTGCCTTCTGCAAACAAGTCGAAGTACATACTGAGTCATAGTTTCCAGATCATAAACACACCTCGGCAATCCAAAAGTTCTATTGATCTGATCATAAGCGGACCTGGGGAGCCCATAGCAGGATAGAGAGATTCATATCCAGTCGGCGAAAGATCCATCGTAGGACTTAGGCAGTTCCAAGCATCATAAGCAGACCTTGGGAGCCCGGTGGCTTTCGAAAAGTTCATTCTTCTCTGAACAAGCAAGTCGCCCCTCTGATCCATCATGTCTCCTCTTTGACGAGTTAACTCTCCCCTTTGTGCTTGCATCATTTCCATTCAACTGGAGAAGCTGCTTGTTATCGAGCAAACGAGAAAACCTTCGCTCCCAATCCATGCAGTTCACTATTACCGAGATATACATGACGATTGTCTCGATTGAAAGATAGATCGATGTTACTCGGGATGTGAGAAGTTTTCGTCTGTATCAAACTTCTTGCAGGTGTCGATAGGGACAACCATATCCCGGCTTCAACAACACAACCAATCACTTGAAAGTTGGCTCTCCCTTTTCGCACTAAAAGGTCATCGGCTGAAGCCATGTGCACGTAATCATAAAGTTGATGTAGAGCAGGAATGGATGAGGCAACAAACGAAATATTTTCTGTGCACCACGTGAAACATCTCATGACCCAGTGAACACAAGACAAGAGGGTAAATTCCCAATCCTATACTAATGTTTGCAATCTCATCAGCAGCAGCCATTACAGCTGTGCTCAGCGATGAGTACATGTATGAAGAGCCCAAGGACAAGAGAGAAGTGGAGAAACCAAGACTCAGAACCGTTGTCCAAGTAACTGCATAAAGTCGAGAATCCCCGCTCTTCCTGCATATTCTCCAAACGTAACGAGTATTTCCTTGTTCTCTCCCGCAATAAGCTCGGATTCATACAATGATACGCGTTTTTCCAGTACCTCATCCAGTAAAGCCATTTACCCGGTTGTGCATTATGAGTTTACGAGAAAAAGCATACGCTCGCTTCGGTTGCAATTTACTTAGATGTGGATTTTTTGTTCCCGATTTGATTCGACAATCGGATAATCGTTCCAAAATCTCGCAACCAGCATCCTGGTGTTGCTTCTGTGGACATTCAGCTCTGCCTCTCAGTTTCCACCAACCAAACCTCGTCAAAAGGCTCATATGCCATGTCCTTGCTGGTTTCTCCACTGCGATCTGCTCACCAAGACAGTAATGCAAAAAATTCTAATATATGTATGAAACTAGAGGTTCTTGCATACCCCTCATCGCACCACGGGTTCCGTTGTCCAGATCTCCTCATTACCTGGTTGAAAATACTTCCATGAAGATGACCACTATCGACATATACTGTAGTTGGGTTTCCATGCGAATTAACTATGCCTCTTATAACAATCTCTAACGTTATATACATGACATTTTGTCACTGCTATTCTGGAACTAGAAGATGTGATGTACATTCGTCTGAACGCTATCGCTGCGGGTACTCATCCTAGGGAATCATGCAAATCGAAACAGACCTTCTTTGCTGACAACTGCTTTTTACTTGGTTATTTCCCACTGTAGCGTAGATCTATGATAAACGACGAGAGGCACATTCATGCAACATCAGTTTATAAGTTTTAAGGGGGATTCATTAGGCTGAAGTCTATCGGCTTTGAGCATATGTACGTCTCGACAGGATCTAGTTCACGCTATATTCATCTCAACAAGGAACTATGACACCTAGCGCTACAATACGCAGCTGACTTATCCATACCCTGGCGTCGGTCTTGCTTGGCCAAATGTTTCATGATAAAATTTCATGAGATGTTTGGGGTTATATCTAAACGGAGATTGGCCAGAAGCCCGTCTTGAAGCGTTGTTTAGATGCACATCAGTTTTTCTTCTCCTTTCGTTTTCCAGGGTGTTTTACTAATACACGTTCTATCTTGTTTCGTCGACTGTTCGATTTTTTTGGGCATCTGTACATGATCTTTATTGTGCTCTCTATTGTAATGAATGTTGGTTTTAGTGGAGTGATACTCCTTCCGATCTCTCGGTTCTTGCATTATGTCTCCTGAATCCCCTGCTTTCTCTTGATGCATGCTGGTTTCCATAGAAAAACAAGTCCCTTCTTCTACTTTCCATATGGCATTTTGTTCTTCTTCGAAGGTTGATAGTTCTAGGCAGTATTGACATAGATGTTTGAAACAGCCGACGCTTTTTCTTGGGTTTAATAGTTGCTTCCTTGTTGGTCCTTGTTGAAAACGTGCAGAATAATTTTCTCCATAGGCATAAGTTTGGCTAGCGTATGCTACATGAGGAAAAGATATAAGTTAAATAGTTTTTACAGTTTCCAGCCTGCAACTAATTTTTTTATATCACGTTACTCGAAAGTTAATTTTGTCGCTATTTTCTCATACCAATCGTGTGATAATACAAAACGTACTTCCTTATTGGATGTACGTTCTGTATGAAGTATTGAAGAAATATAGCTTCCAAACATCAGAATTCATCCTATTCATGAAAGTTGATGTATATTTCTTTGCTCCTCAAAACATAAATGTTCTTTGATGACTTACCCATGTTGCCAAAGATTTTTTCCATAATTGATATAGTCCATGATACATATCAATTTTCCTGGATTTGATCTTTGATCAAACGAATTTGGTGTCGTTAGTAAACTTAAACTTTTAAAATCAAATTACTTGATTTAATAGAATTGGGACAGTAAGATTCATGACGTTCAACATTTTTTTAATTTTAAAAATTGTCTTGGATGTTAAAAATCAAGCCCATAAGTACCAATGTTTTTAAAAACTTGACTTTCTGGAGTATAAAATTTTCAATATGATCAAACCCATCAAAATTAAGATTTGAAAAGATTTATCTTTTATCAGATGAAAAGAAACAAACATATCATTAATCATTGCCATATCCGTAATAATATCCATTGCTATAATCATATCATTAATCATTCATCATCGCCATATCCTAAATAATAATGTATGTAAAAATATATAAGCTATTAAATCTACACTACGAATTTTTTTAAAAAATAAATTTTGCAAATAATTTATATTTTATGATTAAATTATAAATTTTATTTTTCTGAAATATATTCTATGTTCATTTTTACCATCTTGTGAAATAATCATGAATCAAAATTAAACAATCAATTGACTTTTTATATGAAATCTTCAAAAAAAAATTAAGCGTAATCAATTTAATTTAGAATTTTTTATTTTTTTTTTACAAATCTAAAGTTTTCAATTTCAATAATGATTGTTTCTTTTTTAAAATCAATTTTTTAAGATTGAATTTTTTTTTGAATGCAGTTATATATATTATTTATTGAAATATGAGACAAAATCTTTCATATATGTTTAAAATGCATTGCAAATTTTGATGGACATATAATATAAGTTTAAAAATTAAATCTTTTTTTCTGTAATTACTTGCAAAAGACTGTCATATAGAGTTGTAATCAAATTTACTTAGTAGATATGAGAATGTTATTCTATCTTACAAATTGATGATTTTTAGCCTGGATTAACGTAATCTAATGACATTTTTTATACAATGTAAATTAATTATTGAATGATCGTTCTTCATGAGTATGACTTTGTAATGACTAAATATTTTTTTAAATAAAAAAAAGGAAATATTTATAGTTGTTGAGCAATTGAAAAACTTAAATTTAACCTTTTTTAGAGAAAAAAAATGTTCAAAAAATTAATTTAAATCATAATTTTTTAATCTATATTATTAAGCATGATTTTTTGTATCTACGAATTTTTTTTATAAATATCTTTTTATTATTTACTATAATTATTTATCAAAAAAATTAATAAGTATTTTTCTGGAAATTTTATTAATCAATATTAAATTTTAACTAGCAACATGTTTAAAATGACTGCAATTTTGCTAAAGATATTTTATAGTAATATCTTCATTTATATTAAAATTTATTTTATAATCTTCTGTTTGAGGATATTTTAACAACTTTGAAAATAAAAAAAAGCTGAATTAAATAAACTTTAAATTAATTATTCTCTCTATGATAAACTGAAGAATCAAGCTCTTGTAAAAAAGCAAGTTTGTTATTTCTGAAAAAATAAATTATATTTTAATTGAAAAAATTTCCAAATTGATTTGATGAAAATATAATTTCTCATTTTTATTTTCAAATCTTATAAATTTTTTTTTAATATATGATAATTTACCATCAAATTACAAGATTTAATTAAATATAAATTAGGCTAGATGCAAGTATTATTGTGTAAAAATAATACTAAATGTAGGGAGTGGCTAGTTATTCCTCACCTTGCTATACTAGGGTGAGACATAACTAGCCAAGTACATTTTATCAGTTTAGTTTGGAACTTTGACGCGCATAAGGAGCTATTGTAATATGAGTGGGAGCAGCTAGATATCTGTCACTTTAGATTAATTATCCCTTACTATACTAGGGTGAGTTATAGTTAGCCAGGTCAACCAAGTATGTGTTATTAGTTTAGGTTGGATCTTTGCCAAGAATCAGGAGCTATTGTAGTATGAGTAGATTTTCGAACTCAAGCTATTATCACCTGAAACCTATCACTACAAAATCAATCTATGGTTCTAGTGGGATCACTATTCTAATCAAAAACTCGAGTGAAGTAGGAGGCTATGCTCATGGGCATAAGCTCAAGAGTTGTTTTGTGCATAGGAAATGAATCCGCAAGTTTGGATTCAATCAGCTATTCATTTTTGAAAAAGTCATTGATCACTTCATGAATCGTCCCATCACGCCTCTGTGCAAGCTCAATGACGTGTTGATGACCTACAGTGAATTGTTTTGAAATGTACTAATTGTTGACTAGTAGAGCTGTTTGGGGAGCAGCTTTTTCCATGAATACCCTATTCTTTTGTTGGCATCGTTTGGATTGACGATGAAGACATAATCTTGTTTCCGGATGTTATTGTGCAACGGAGGTTTCATCGGCCTCACAAGATGCAAAGATAACAATCTCGGAGCTTCACCTTTCCACAAACTAACGACTACTCGGTTACAAGCCTTTGAGACTCAGGCTATTGTCACCCGCAAGGGTCTGATCTAGAACTTGTCCGACGACTTGGATGACTTTGCTAATTATCCATCATACTAGTAGAGTAGGGTGATGTAAAATTAAACTAAAGTGAGTTATAACTAGTGATATGTAACTATTAAACTAGAGTATTATACACATAGTATTATACATTATAATATAGGGCTTCAAAAGTCCATCTATATTTTATTGTATTAAATCGAATTGAATTTTCAAAAGACTGAATAATTTTTTTTGCCGTGCGCTAGTGCGTCGTTACCGGGTGCATCGCCGTGACGCCATGATCGTGGATGTATTTGAAAGTAGCTGCCTAGAGGAACCTGTCTATAGCTCGTACTACTTTCCTTTTCATTCTACGACAGCAATTTTTCATACCTTTATCGAGTGCGTTATTGAAATCAGTCGCTTAAATTTGCTTTGGTTCCCTTCGAGTATCTGACTTCGCTGAACTTCGATACTATCAGAATCCGTTACTATGCAGAGTCGATTTTCAATGTTCAATGTAGTTTGACTAACACATTATGAATTTCGCTCAATTTTCTTAGTGCACTTCGATGTACTTCGATTGTGTTAATTCGGAGTTGCAGTGAAGCCTCGTGTGGGTAGACTATACAGACTTAATTGAGTTTAGTACAATATAATACAGTATTAAACTCATCAAAGTTTGATGCTGAGTATTATACATAACCCTAGTTATAACTAACCGTTACCTAAATGTATGCATGCGTGGATATGTCTATGATAAGTTAAGATGTATATTCGTCAGAAATCTGTTTCTACTTGATAGTTTGTCATTTTGTCAAACTATCAAGCAAAATTTTTGAGATTGACATTATCATTTCTTAGATTTTAGATAGTTTTTATGTTAAAAATTAACTTTAAATAACTTTTAAGTCAAAGAACATGTGATTAATTCATCAAAAATTATCTTGTAACTTGTTCCAACATTTCACAAATCTATAAAAACAACTTCCAAAAAAAAATATGATCAAAAAATAATTGATCAAACTTTGAATTATAAACATTATATTTATAATATGGTTTTAAAATCTAATATAAATACATAAACAAAATATTACTATTGATAATAGTAAAAATATTTCATCTGTTTATATTCATATTTTTAACTGTTTTGAGAATGAAATATACTTAAATATTTTCCTTATAAATTCAACTTTTTTGCTAAATAAATATTTGAATTGTACATAATTGCTGAAAATGAAATTAATGATACATTTTTCTTTGAATGTTGAATTTTTAAAGATTTATGTGCATTTGAAAATAACTAAAAAATTTGAATTATGTTAAAACAATTTGTTTTCAACTCTTATTACATTATTCAATTGGATTGGGGCAGTAAATGGGAGTGTTATCTTAGCTAAATCTAATAGGGTGCAAAGCTAGATATCCTGTAGAAAATGACACGGCTCTTTCCAAAGGTTCCGATATTTCACTTTCACAAATGGCGAGTCTTCTTTATTATTGACAAACATAATTTTTTTATTAAAAGTCAATTGTAGACATGTTTATAAACAGATTTAAGAAAAAAAGTAAATTAACTTCGTCGTTTTCAATATTGAGTCATATTGATTTGAAAACTTATCGAATAGAAATTATTTTTTCAATTTACATATTGAGCTTTGATCAAACATCAAAAATTCAAAATTATTAAATGTAAAGCTAAATTAACTCATAACTAGAGTGTTAGATTTTATGTATATATTTATGAAAAATTTCTTGTCACAATAGAATAAAAAGAGATTTTACAGTTGAAAGATCTAAAAAAAGTTTCAAATTCATATCTATATAGATATTGTATGAATTTTTTATTATATCAAAGTGTTTTCTATCAGTAAATTTAATTTGCTTATATAAAGAATAAATTTTCATTAAAATTCGAATGTTGAATTCATCAATAGTTTATTGCGCAATTTAGTAACTTAATTAAAATTTACTTAATTACAATTTTAAAATTTTATTTTTTATCAAATTTTTTTGAATTATAAGCAAAATTGAACATTGAACATATACTGAATTAAGTAAAAAATTTAAAAAATGTTTCCATTGATAAATCTATGTTCGGTCATAAATACGTCAGAACCTAATATGGTATCCTTGTCATTAAGAAAACATATTTTTTTATATCAAAAGTTGAATTTGATCTTATTTAGTAATGCAGAACTATATTATAAATATTCATCCAATAAATATTTATGGCAAAATGAAGATATTTGTATAGAATTCACAATATTATATAATCATGACGATTTTCTCACAATTTTTTTTAAAAAACTTCTGTATTACTACAATTTAAAATCTTATTCTCACCTCAAGAATCGGAAGAACGATTCGTGCAAAGACTTCTATCATCCAGGGAGTATTTTCGTCTAGCAGGAATGCGGTGTAACAACACTTGTTTCATCTTCGTTGGGCGTGATTCGTGTTGACGAGTCCCCATTTCCTCGTTGTAACAATATGCATCGGAACGTAGATGAGATGTCCACCTCTCTACGAATCTTGCACAACCGAACTTGAACGAAGTTGCGGTTTCACAATCTTGCATAGAAGCCCATCCAAAGCGAAGTCACAAGCGGCACGACATGTCGGAGCCTTTCGATGCCCAACAGTGGCGGAGAAGATGTACAGCAGGACAGCCTTTCCCCGTGGGGTTGGAGTCGTGATGCGAATTTCAGGGCCACCGACCGTGGGGCTCCGACATGATGCGCAAAGCCCTGTTGTGAGGGAAATGATGAAAAGAGCTGAAATTCTGAAGAATTGATATCTTTAGCTCAGGAAAAAAGAGATTATGTGAAGCTTGCCACCCGGAATAGTATCCACATCAAACAATGAGCCTCGAAGCTCTGATCTTTTGCTTGGACTCGTACGTGTGGAAGTCCAGGCTCACAATACGACGCGCAGCTGGTTAACGATTCGAGCCAAATCCATGTTGCCTCTCCTGGGTGTAGTCTTGTCGAGGCGTTTATGCCGGTGGAAGCATGAGCTCCGATAACACTAAGTTGACAGAGTATATTTTGGGGTGTCGAAATCGACGTCGCTACAACTCCTGAACGAGAAACGACGTTTTCTGCCTCCAGGCCTTCACTCAGCCAAAAACAGCCCATGCCATAGCCCGTGTACGGTGACCAAACGAGACTGAATCGAGGAATCCAGAACGCGAAGGCCGAGGATGCCTTAGCGAATTCAATGCATATCTAACTACCTGCCGGAGGGGCGATGCATGGCGTACATATCTGTTGTGGCTGTCCGGTCCGCATTTTAATATCATTTTTCCACGTCGAATCAACAACCTCGTAAAGGCAACTGCTTGGCATACATTCTCTGCTTCGTTGCCACACTTGGAAGAGCGTGCTTGACTGAAACGTCGTGCATTCACTCACTTCTTCAACTGCCGTGAGCCATGGTGGATGTTATGATGAATGCCATGGCTCTGAAGCTTCCTTGTTCTGAGGTTTTTTCAGGGCGAATCAGTAACGTCGTGAACGCAGGTGCCCAGCATACATTCTCTGTTTCGTTGCCAGACTTTGGAGGCCGTGCTTTACTCAGACGTCGTGCATTCATTCACTCAATTCTCTAACTGCCGTGAGCCATATTGGATGTTCTCATGAATGCCATGTTTCTCAAGCTTTCCTCGCCTGAGACATTTGCCACAGACTTATTGCCAGTCTCATGTGACGGGTGGTCAAACAGCTTCACTCCAAGCTTCAGCCATATCTAGCAGAGACACATTCACCTGGCAAAAAGAAATCACATGACTCCATTGGCTTTGGTCGGCCACGCCCTTTGCGGAGACTACCTCTGTGAGAATTCGAGACATAAAACACGTTAGACAAGTGTAAACTACACCAATACATGATACATGCCCAAAAAAAGAAGAATCAAGCATCACGGAGGACTTCAAACATTCAATGTGTGTTAAAAAAAATCCTGACAAAATGCAGAAGCTCTGAAGGCCCAGCCAACGAACGATTACCTGGCTTACTTCACATTACAACAACCTAGGAGGAAACACTCTGTCTAGCAGATTCAGCGAGGAGGGCTTCGAGCTCCATTCACTTCAGTCGTGAGAAATGAGCTACCTCATGTGAAGGAGTCGGAAGAGCTTAATTTCAAAACTGGTGACAGAACCACAGAGAGGGAGTGCAGATGGTCACCACAATACCATACTCACGGACGTGACTGTACTGCAGGCAGAGTGCATCATCTGTAAACGCAGGGGCGCCTGTACGTGTGCTCTGCTGTCCTCGCATGTACACGAGCGAGCTGTCGAAGCACAAGACGAAGATGTTGAGTAAAGTGGGTCGTCTGCCAGATTACAGATATCCAGTTCAATCATGTGAAGCAGGGCGCCAGAAATATGCTGACAATCCACCTGCTGCCTTCATTGGCCCCAGAAGCAAGCTGAAGGGAGGGAGGGAGGGAGGGAGAGAGAGAGAGAGAAGGAGCTTACACAACTCAACACAGAACAGAACGGTACTGAACACTGACATGGCCCTTGCCTGGTCAGTGAGGACTGGCCAGCCAGCGAGCCAGCGAGCCAGCCACGGCGAGCCATAGCTGGTCGATCCATCGAAGAAGGCACGTCATCTCGGGCAGAAGAGGGAGAGAAAATTGAGCAGGAAGCAAAGAATCAGCATCCCACAGAATCCACGCCTGACAACGAAGTGCGTACTTGATTAAGCAGCTTTTATCTCGCGGAGCTCGCTCGCCTCGCCTCCTCAGGACATGCGCCCGAGAAAGTCTGCGACTCGAACTCCGCCCGACGACGCTGGACCGAATGGCGACCTCCGAGGAACTGGTGCAACGCGCCGACGAGGCATGAAACTGAGCGATGCTCGGAGAGGGAGAGAGAGAGAGGGTGAAAGTCCCGAAGAAGTCGACCGCCAACTTGATCGCCGAGGCAGCGAGATTGCTTGCTTGCTTGCTGTCGGTAGATTCGTGTAGAGGTCATTTGGGGGGCGAGAGTGCGCTGATTTGGGACGTGTGGAGTGAGCATCAAGGCAGCGGGGGTTCCGGTTCGGCAGCTGAAGCCTGTGAGTGATGGTGCAGCTGTAGTGGGGAGGGGCAGTGCGGATGCCTCGGGGTTCAGAGCTAGAATTCTGAGACGGGGACCATAGCCTCGGGGTGGTGGTAGGTGGGAATTGCGGCGGTCAAAGACGACGGACGAGGTGTGGTGGAGCGAATGATGAGCTGCGAGCAAGCTCGACAATGATGGGCAGTTATCAGGTCCGAGAATAGTCCAGCTCTTTCGAATGTTGCGACGTCCGGGGAAAGCACCGCATGCAATTGCACATGCGTTCTTCCGTCGTGGAAGGAATAATCTCCTCTCGTAGAGCAGAGTAGAGAGCAGCAGTTGTTGCAAAGGGGAGGTCGAAGATGGAAATCGTCGACAGAAAGTCGTAAAGTTGTTCGTCTTTCCGCAGAGCAGCAGCAGAAGAAGAAGTCAGCCCTGCTGCTGCTGCTACTCGACACTGAGCTGGATGCACGCAGGACCGACCGAGGTCCCACCAACGAGCTGCTCTCCCTCCCTCCTCGTCCGACACCAATCCTCTGCCCTGCTGCACCCGCCAACTCCAGTCGTCTCCGTCCCGATCGGAAGAGAAACTAAAATCGCGCATCTCTCTCTTCTCGATTCTCATTTCTGGATTCTACTTCCGCGACCGCTTTCTGATTTGGAGCCATACTCTGCTCTCGCGATTCGATTGATCCTCTGCTTTTATTTGGGGAAGAGCTGGACCGGACTTGTCCTGCTGTCAAGCTGGCTGCGCTAGTCACTGCAGATTTTACTGGGCGCAGTAGAATCCTTGGCCACCGACAAAACTGCTTACGTCCGCCTTTCGCTCGTCCCTGCGGGCGACCTTCAAGCCAAAACTATCTCGCTCGGCGTTTGCGTGTTTGAATTCCGAGCCGTTCTCGTCGGCCTGTCGTCGCTCGTCCCGTGGACGGGAACGGACTCGTCTGACGCTGACGCTGAAGCTGGAGCTGGAGCAGGAGCTGGAGCAGGAACAGGAGCAGCAGCAGCAGCAGCAGCCCGCAACCGAGAGCTTCTGCTGGGATGCGCTCTGTCAAGGTAGGGTGGAGTAAGCTCGAATTCGTGTCTGACAGTCCTGGAGGAAACGCAATAGAAATTTTAGCGATCAGCCGAATCCGAGGCGGAATGAATGACTCGAGCTTCGAAGTTCGCACAGAGTTGTTGCTTGTATGAATGAATGGGGCGGATGATTTTGCCTCTGGTTAGAAAGCTCGGAAGGGAGACGGCTGTGGTCCGTTGACACTGAATTGCGAAATTACTGCCTCGCCTCCATCTCTGCCTGCCTGCCTGCGTGCGTGTTCGCTCGAGAGGAGGAGACCATTTCGAACAGGCCGGGAGGAATTCAAGTTCCTTGTATTACTTTATGTGGACGACGATGGAGAAGAATAAGCAGAATAGGAGTCTGATCGCATTTGTAAATGATGTGCAACGAGCTCAAGTCGTCGCTCTTGATGCAGATCACGTGCAATCTATGAGATCGCCGAGAAGACGACGAGCCGTCCGAGTCGAGGAGTAATGAGCACCACGGCCTCGAGTTTCCGCAAGTCGGAGGAGCTCCGCATCGTTCACTGCGCATGCTGCGGGCGAAGCTCTGAACCCTCTGTCCGCGGGCGGCGGACATCACGATCCTGAAGCGAGCGATCGGGTGCTCGTCTGAGCATGCCACTGCTGCTCCGGCCGTTCCGATGAGTTTGAATCCAGCTGCTGTCAAGTGGTTGGGCTTCTACAAGAGGATCTTGCCTTGACTCCGGTACGTCTCTCTCGCACATCATGCTTTTGCCTGCGTTTGTGTGCGTCTGCCTAGCCCCAGAGAGCGAGCGAGAGAATTTGGATATGGACGCCGGCTGAGCGATTCCAATTACGCTTCAGGAGATCAAGGAATGGCCCCGGGCGCTTGAGGCAGCCTCGGATGCATCCACCTATCTCATCCTGAATCAGAATCCTATCGCTCTCTGCGTCTGGGCAACGTCCGGGCAATTCACCCACGCAGAGAAGCACCACAGCTTTCCTCGTGCGCAGCAGCAGACTGGGTAGAAAACAGTGGCCATGCCTGCGACTCTGAGGGCCCTGCTCGTTGTTAGTTTGCGCGGAAGTGCTGGAGTATGCGATTGTCAGAGAGGGACATCACACGATGATCATCTACGAACTTCTCAGCTTCCTCCGATACGGAGTCGTCGGTACCCGTCGGGGTTCGATTCGCTTCTGTAGATTTCACAGGAAAGTGTGGAATGCCAGGCGACGATGGGCACATTAGACATGGATTAGCGTGCGCGCGTCAGAGCAGAAGAGAGTGACAGATGATACTGTCATGTTCCTCAGCGCTCGGATCGTCGTCCTGATCTTCGATCGGATTCAAACATTATACAGCCAGAGGCACGATATGAGCTCCAAATTGCCGTGAAAGAGGTCCGGGATCGACCTCCTTAGTTTCACAGGATGAGGAGACTCTGATCGTCTTATGGAAAGAACTGCTGACGATCTCATGCCTCTTCCAGAGGCAATCATTTGCGAGGGTTTCAGACGTGGGGAAGACCTTGGAACCTGCATCCTCGTTGGGTTTTGGTGCTCGTATTCTTCGCTTTCTTCTGCTTGAAAGCTGTAGTACTAGACTGGAGCTCTCAAGGCTCACGTTAATTTTCTGATGCCGTAGAGGACAACAGCTTGCGACCTCTTTTTCCATCTGACCAATTTGCCATGGCAATTCGCTAGAGATGGAAGAAGGTCAAGCGTGACCCACTCAGGGAGCTCGGTGCCTGAGCGGGTTTTAGTATATTGCGATGATTTAGGGACCTGAATTTCGAGGTCAATCTGAGTAATACGCAGGGCCGGTCCTTGTCCCGAGCCCGATGAATTGCTGAGAACTGATAGTAGCTGATACGCAACCCGGTTTAGGATCAGCTGCAGAAAAGAGCATCGGGATCCAGAGATGCGAGGCCCTCGCTTAATTGAAGCTTAGGCTGGAGAGGAGTGGAGTGAGAGTTGAGTGATCGTGAGGCTAATGGCGTTCCACTCGCTTGTGCAGCGGCCGAGTCCCAGATCGAAACTAGTAAAGCTCAGAATGGAGCAGGTGCAGCTCGTAGGCTCCATACAGCGGAACAAGTCGGCCATGTATAACGGAGGAAGTCACGGCGCAGCGAGCTACAAGACTGGGCCGAAAATGGTCTGGAGATGGGTGCTCGTGTGCATGGCTTTGGGATCTGCTGCCGCGGTGGCGATTTGCGGCCTCCTGGCAGGATATGGAGACTTCGTGATCCGACAACAACATCCGGCGCTGTTCCAAGCAGCTCCGTTCGTCGTTCCCGACGAACAATTTGTCAGCAGCAGCAGCAGCATTGCGCAACATCGACAGCAGCAGCATTGTCAAGGCAAGCGCCTGTACATATACAACCTCCCTCGCCTCTTCAACCTCGACATTCTCGATCGCTACTGCCAGAACAAAACTGACTACCCGGAGATGTGCGCGAAATTCGTCAACTCCGGCATGGGATTCAAGCTGGAGCGTGTCATGGAGCCTCTGGAAGCCTGGTACAGAACCGATCAATTCTCGCTGGATCTGCTGTTCCACGACAGGCTGAAGAAGTACCCCTGTCTCACGCAGGACCCGGAGACAGCCGATCTCTTCTACGCTCCATACTACGCTGGCCTCGACGTGACCGAGTTCCTCTTTGCTACCGAGATCCAATTGCGAGACAAGCTCACTCAGCGGTTCCTGGGCTGGATGATGGCCCAACCATCTTTCGTCCGCCTGCAGGGCCACAAGCACCTCCTGCTCCTGGGGAGAATCGTCTGGGACTTCCACAGAACCGAAGTTCTGAGCAACTGGGGAAACTCGCTGCTGAAGAACGGGGACGTCGAGAATATGACGGCTCTGATTCTCGAGAGGGACCCCGAGGCGTCCGAGTCTCACCAGATGGCCGTGCCATACCCGACCTCCTTTCATCCCAAGACGGATGCTGAGCTCAAGCTCTGGCAAGAGAAGGTTGCCAGCTCCAACAGAGATCTGTCGTTGGTCTCGTTCGCCGGGTCTCCTCGCAGAAACAAGAGCAAGGGCCATGTCATGTACGCCTATCTGAGAGACAACCTTTTCGAGCAGTGTGACAAGTCCAACCTCTGCACCCCTCTCCTCTGCGACGAGATCGACTGTCAAGCCAACCCGCACCTCGTCACCAACCTGCTCCTACGCTCGACCTTCTGCCTGCAACCTCCGGGCGACTCTCCCACCAGAAAGGGCGTGTTCGATTGCTTGGTGGCGGGCACCATCCCCGTCTTCTTCACGGTCCACTCTGCCTACAACCAGTACCTCTGGCATCTGCCGAAAGATGGCGACTCCTACTCCGTACTCTACGACGAGGACGAGGTCCGGGACAAGGGATTTGATGTCATGGCTGCTCTGCAGCAGATTCCTGCGTCTAAGATCAAAAGCATGCAGGAAACCATTTTGCATAAGATTATCCCCGTGATCCTGTACGACCATATTGACCGGGATCCGAATAAGAAGACGAAAGATGCAATTGACGTGATTCTGGATCACCTTCTGGTCGAGGGTTTTCAGACTTACCCCGACGAAGCTAAATTATCTGCTTCTCTCACGTGAGTCAAGCTTGCTCACATGCTGATCAGTTCTACACTCTGAGCTGCCCCACACACACACACACTCTCTATCTCTCTCTCACTGGAAACTCGACGATGTCTGTCAACCTTCTAGGCAACTGCATGAAGTAGATACGATAGCGTAGAAAGGATGACGAGGAGGAGTGATGTCGGTCGAACCCAACCCACGAGAGCAAAGCTGACTTGATTTTGCTGGCAACTTGGCACACTGTTCCCTCGCGTACAGCTGTGACCTGCTGTGTGCTGTACTCGCAACAGTGCTGTCATAGCTTACCAGGGCCTCTGTCTAGGTCATGATTACATCGTTAGGTAGAACTAGAACTACGACATGTATTATCTGTACAGGCCATGTGCATGAGGAAATAGAACGTACCTGGGTTTGTGATCTCCGCACTCGGCGACAGCCTCAGGGTTTGTCTACACGTCTTTTGCGTGAACCTTGAATATATCAGGATGGAGACCGCAGCCTACACTCGACATTTGAGAACTGGTCGTGTCGCAATTTTCTGTGATTAGTGAATGACCAGGCTTTCTACAACCAATGGCTTCTTATCAAACGATAAGGAACGATTATGCTTGTTATGAGGATTATCAAGTCGTGTTCCCACAGCCAGTGTACTTGTGCCACTGTACGGCAGCATTTGTGACTTTCATATTTCTCCACTTCTGTATGTGTCGAACAGTGCGAACTTGAACCGACCTGCACTCTGGCATAACAAAGGTGTTTCCCCACCTGAAGTCACAGACTTACTAGGAATTCAAAGAGTCAGTCTGTGAGACTGATGTGAAAGGGTGGTAAGTGATTCCATGTTACCATCAGATGAAGTTGCCACCAATGTGGGCAATTATCAAATAAAATCGAAGTAAGACATGTAAAAGAGACATCGCAGGTACGACAGGCCAGACATCAGTAATAGACGCTAATCCTCGTAAACCCAATCAAACTATTCAGCACATGACTGTAGATCACGTGGAACACTTAAAAATAATTTAGGATGATTTCATAGTCTTCCGTATGATGCTGTCTGTTGCTGGTATATAAATTATATCATACACTACATGCCTACTAAACTTTGGTATCTCACTCGCCTCAACTAGTTACTCCACTTGAATTTTAAAGAGCTCCAGGACGTCTTTATTGCAGACTGTCGACAAGGCGTCTTCTGTGTCAACATATCGCCTCAACCTTTGCCTAGGTCTTGAATTCGCACAAAATTTTAATACCCGTCTTAGCCCGGGGCCATTATGCGGCCTGGCTGAACTTATCAATGGTACTGCAATAGACGAAGAGAAGACGGGAGGACACGACGATTCAGGACGACAAGGATGAAAGTGCCGTTTTGTTTATTGAGTTTGAAAAAATAGTTGAATTCTTCAGTTTGATCAGATAATATCTTCACTGTCGAGAAATCCCCTCCTTCTTCCTCCTTCTTCGTCTCCCCTCATGTCCACGTTCTCCCAGTACTCAATCTCCTCGCTGTGCCGCATTTGGGGCTGAAGTACAAGTTCAGATCCAACTGAAAGGTTCTAACCAGAGGGATCATTTCTTACTTAAAACTGGATACGAAGTTCGCTTGCGAAGATGTGAAAGTTTGTCTACCCTCGGTACTCATCGCCACAGTCACCAATGACATCCATCAAATTTTTACCCCTCTTAGTCACGGACGCTATTCTGTCGCGATCCTCATCGTCGAGTTGGAATCTGAAAACAGATTGAGAATCTCTAAGGTGCTCTGACAGGCCTAGCCTGACCCCGATCATGGATCCCCCAACTGATGGCTGAAACCAGCAAAACCCTACGTTAGCTGCCAAACGAAGGGCTTGACTGATAAACCACTTTACATGGCTCCCAAACTGTTACAGTGAGCAGAGAACTACGGTACAATCAACAATTACAATGTCACTCAGAAAGATTGGACAATGTCCATTGTACTATTTTAGAATATGTGGGGTTCTTATAAAGCGTTCAGAACATAACTTAAAACTCCGCGAATCGGCAAGAGAATACAAATGACAACTGTCAAGAAGAAACGAACAGTGGAATGTGCCTCACCTGATCAAGAATGTATCGGACGGCTACGGTAGATATTGGTACACCATGCTTTCTTCCTATCTTATCACATTCTCGCAGAAGTTCTTGGAATAGGTTCCAACCTCCCCATGAGTCGACCATCTGCACAAGGCAAATCCTTTCTGTGAACAACCGTCCTAATACGGCCAACGTTACGAAAACTGTATTAATTCTGCATGTAGGTCAGCTAAGGCGAAAACACAGCAGATCTTCAAGGTATTGACATCTCAAGTGGTAAGCAGGGAACTGCAGTTACCTGCTTGTACTTGCCGAGGGACGGAGTGTCCAACTTAGGACCCATGAAAGGAACGTTAACATTGACGTCCAACCACTTGTTCGAGAGCAGACCTCCCATAACAGTACCATACCTGCACTCGGAATCCCATTTTGAGGATGTAAGCAACTCTATATGCAACGAAAAGCTCTTTAATGTAATAAAACTTTCACCTCGTGAGGCATCGCAAGCTGTTGCAGAGCAATTCTCCACTATCTGACGGTGCCTGATACGATTGTACAAGACTGACCGACTGGAGCAGACATAGTGCAACGGCTAGGGTTTTGGAGGGAGAAAGTGGTAAGCAGTTTGGTGAAGGTTTAGGAACGCACGTAATGAGCTTGACACCAGTGAGCTGACATAGTTCAGACATGTTTTGCTGAGGCCGCATGTCGACCAACGAATGTTGGACCTACAAAATAAAAGCAAGTAAAGATTGAAACCTCACAGCTTTGCAGGGATGAAACATGGCAGAAAAGTACACCGGTGGACAAATTTAAGGACAAGCCCGCAACAGGATAAAGAACTTGAGATTTTTAACAGCACAAATGAACAGTGCAAAGAAACAATACCAATGTGAGAAAGTTTCAAAATTTTTACCTGGTTGCTCACGATAGGTATGCCATTCTCCAGGATCACACCCAACCTTTTCGTGTCAAAGTTGGTTAAGGCAAGCGTCTTGATTTTTCCTGCAGGACTACCGGTACATATGAATTACTTTCAAAGAGACTCAATTTCTTCCTCCGAACAAAGACAGAGCTGGGCTCGGCAATGAATATCGATTCTGCTCCGCACATGAAATAGACTGTCATGAATATATATGACGAGAAGTTAAGAAGCCCCATGTTGCGACAAGAACTCATCGGCTATGCTTCGATCATAGCGAATCTGGCAACGTGAAAAACTAATTCGGAAATTTTAGGTCAAGTCATGAGCATTGGCCCCAACTTACCTTCTTCTTTGAGGTCAGTCATGTGCAAGAGGGCATCCAAATATCCCTTGTTGGCGTAGTCCCACCTGCATGGGTATCACTTTCAGTCTAGAACAAACTAGCTCTTCGATGTACATGGTTCAATGAGCATAGAGCTTGATTTTAATCCAGAGATTCCTAATGAACTTGCTTCCTGGCGAAGTAAGAAGCTGCAGAGCAGTCCAGAATAAGTAATCTATCACACCTCTTAGCGAACCCCAATGCCTACCCTCATACCAGTGAAATTGCACCATATCAAGAGTCTGAACGTCCATTCGCTTTCTTGAACGATCAATAGCTGCTTCGACGACACCCCTTGTCATCTTTGCAGGAGATGGAACCCACTTAGTGAGTCTGCATGGACGAAAATATCATGAGTTATTTAATTGTAGATGGAAAACTACTTCAGAGTGCTTCCTTACATTTTCTCACCGTCAAGACCTAAGTACATACCCGATTCATTTCTGCTTTCTACACCCCACATTTAGTACACATACTGTGAGCCCAGATATTCTATAGTCATCGTAAGGTTCATACACAGCCACGAAAGCTAGCTCTTTTCCATCCTGTGTTGCTCACCCTGTTACCGTAGAGGCCAGCTCTTCTCCACGCTCTCGCCTGATCTGGTTCATAAAAAGTCCGTAAATATCTTCTGCTGGGCCATCTGCAACATTACAAAAAAAAATACAAAAATGTTCATGTGAATTTGAAGAGTTAATTTACCCTACAAAAACTCGCTGCACCTTCTAAAGCTCTAAGTTTTGATTACAACATTACATCAGGCTACGGCACGGCAACAAACTCCGACATATCAGATATTTTTTGAACTTGAAGACTACTCAGCCCTAGGATTTCGATTTGGAAACCTCTCTAGAGCAGGCATAAATCCACGTTTAAGCTCGTTGATGACGATTACAAGCCCAAACACTAAAATGTCATTGCAATACCCACTTAAGGGTTTTGTGGAAATTTGTGTACATTAGATTACATAATAAATGCTTTAAGTAGTACATGACATTCAGTGTGTCGGGCAATTGAAGCTTACAAATATCAGCCATGTCAAAGGTCGTAAACCCTGCATCCACGTGCCTGATCATAGCATCCACAGCTAAATCACGGTCAATTTTGCCCCATCCTCCACTAGTTTGCCACATCCCATTGATCACTCGAGTAATTTGCAGCTTGTCGTTCCCGCTCTGCAACAATGCGTGCTTGCCATCTACCGAAACGTCTGTCCCAACTTCATTTCTTACACTCACAGATCCTTTGCGTCGGCTTTGGTAGATGCTACGTTTGTTGCCACTGTGTACCGGAGTCCCAAATGCGAGCTGCGTGATGTTCCCCAGACCTGACGGTGCCGATAGGCACGCCAGCGACGCCATTCAACTACTCTCGAATTGATATTCAAGCTAGCAATTTCAAAAGGAATTTACTGCGTCGTGGAACCAGTTCCGATCTCGAACTTTGAGATTGTTGAGACCTGATCGTCGCGAGTCCGAAGTCCCTGTCAATGTCGTCGAAGACAGGACATCTCAATATTACGGAAGAGACGATGACTTGGCTGGCCCGTGAATCATGAATACTGATGGTGGGCGGTGAGTGACACTTTCGGATAAGGATCGGCAAGGAAGGCCAGCCACTGATACGCAAGGCAGAGCCTTGTTTGTAGCATGCATGGGCATGCTGACATCGTTGAGGGGCCGCGGAGCATGCAACGCAACTCTAGATTCCAGGAATTCCCGACAATGCATCCCAGGGCACATCAACAAGTAGGGGCCTCGTGGGGGCTTGGCAGAAAAGACGGGAAGTATTCACCCCTTGCGTGTGCTGGGTTACTCGTGATCTCTCGACCCTCGATCGCACACGAGTTTCATTCTCATTTCCAACATTTCATGCTTTAATGCATTTGACTCGAAGTTTCTGGATGGTTAGCTCAAAAACTCCACAAAAGATGCGCAAACTTTGATAACCTAGTAGATACAAATATCGTAAGTTGTCTTGTTCATGATAAAAAGAACAAATCTATTAGAGATTAAGTTACACCCTTAGATATTGATGCATTTCTATAGCATATTCTCGAATTTTAATTGAAAATTAAAGGATAAATGTGAACTATGAACTGACGACAATGTAGCTCCATCATTGCTATTGGAAAAGATAGAGTTGAAAGTTTCATGGATTTGATCCTTCCTTCAGATTTGCACGATATGTGCTCATTTGTACAGTGATTGGTCGTTCGAGCATTTGAAAGAAAGTTGTCAGTTTCATTTAATTTTCTCACATTCGTCAACTTGTCGGAACAAGGAGAACTTCATCCATCAAGAAATGATGGAAACCTTGGCAACATGATCCACAGCACGTTCAAATCAATCAGTAGACCATTTCTAGAAATGCGTTAATGGTACACATGTAGATAGTGCTTGAACTCGATATGATGTTCCTGACGAGCGTACAGTCCACAACATGTTCACTCCATGAAATTCCACGTTAGTAGCTAGTCGGCATAACCCTTCCATGTCGAGTCGAGATGTAGTAGTTGTCTGACAGGACTACGGCTCGAGACTCAATAATGCCAAGAACGTTCCAAGACCTTACAGGAAGGAAGCTGTGCACGACAACATGTTAAAACTCGTATTGTTTCTAGCTTGTAGAAACAGAGCGATTGCGATCGACAAGATTCCGCCAGCTGGAGGGAGATCCACACTAACGGCCTCGGCGAAAGGAGAAAGGTCCTTTGTCCCCCTGTTGGAATGGATCTCATTTCACTCTCAACCGACCATCCATTGCGCAAGAGCATCTACCAAACTTGGAAGGTGCAAGGAGCGAATTCCTTCTTGGCTCTTTACTCGTATGAGTCCAGCGGCAATGGGCTCGAGGGACGAAAACAAAAGACACCTCGAGAACGAATGACACAAGCACTGGCTATCAAAGATAGCGGCGGATGCAGTGAATTTCGTGAGTTCAATCATAATTACACACAAGACTTCGTAAACCTTCGATCCTAAAGGGCTGGCGGCTTGATTTCGGAGACTGCATCGATTACTCTGCCGTTTCTGCGAACTGAGAACTTCACCACGACCTGCAGGTACCGTATATCGTGTTATTCAACATAGCTGATTCGTCCTCGATGTCCTGTCACGGACTGATCCTGCTCTTCCAAGTCACTCAGCCGTGAGCCCTGTGCTTGCTTGCCTATGCTACTAGTCTGGCTTCGCGGACTCGCCCACTTTCGATCGCTTGTCGCCACCTCGTGCTTAGTTGCGTAGCGTAATCGAACCCAGATGGATTCGATTACTGGATCGTCGGGCAGCCCCGGTATAAGCTGCCGCTGTTGCCTCCTTCCTCGTTCCTTCTGTCCCCAAGCCGTTCCCTCCAGGATTGCAAGAATTCCTCGGTTGACACCAAAACTATGGATTCTGTCCTGGTGCCTCCTGTTCGTACTTTTTTCCGCGCTTGTGCTAGGCAGTATTGCCATGAGCTGGATGGGCAGAGATGAAAGTAGCGGTACAAGGAAAAGCTCGACATAAAATCCGCGTCATCAGCAGCAATCGACGAGCGTTAGATCGAATCCCGACAGGATGGATCAGTAATGGTGTCAATTTGTAGCAATTTGATCTACTGCAGGAAGTCCCGTACATGCCAGACTACCTTCCCTTGCTTTGCTTCGAATTTGCCGAAGTTGTGGTCTTCTCAGCTTTTAATGCGAGTCTTCAAACCCTATAAACTCTTGAGACAGCTTCTCCTAGTCGACTGCTCGGTGGATTTCACATCCCTATGCGGCACAGCGATCAATCTAGGATTCAAGCTTCAAGAAATCTGCAGTGACTTAAAATGTCCGAGTCCAGCGATTTCGACACGACGCTCAATGTCAGGCAACAGAATGTCACTGCGCCTCGTCCTAACGAGGCTCCTTCACGTGGTGCGTGCTTGATCGCTTGGGCTCATTATGTTTTTCCGTATTTCATATCCTCTCGGACGCCGACACCTTCCGGGCGATGACATTTCTGCAGCGCGCTCATGTGTCGGAATTCGACGCCCTCCGTTGCTTCCAGAGAACGACAGCTTCAGGTCAGCACGGCCGACGACGATTCCCGTCAAAAGCTCGTGAATCTGACGAGAGAAGCGCAGGAAATGGCACGTTGCCGGATCGAGCTTTCTCAAACTTAACCTCGAGCTACGGGCGCGTCCCGTGGTTAACGGCCGGAGGCAGGAATCTCGGTCCACAGAAATAGAATTTGAAATTGTATCATTCACATGCTCGATGGGTTTGGTTTTGGCGGCAACTTCCGCTTGTCACTTCGTAGTCCACTCGTGCTCTTTCCTTCCTCGTCTCGCAACGCGAGAATAGCAGTGCTCGACAGTGCGTGCAATGTCCTCCTGCAGCCGTGCTCGGGCCTCGGACTAGTTCTACGAAGTCAACAACTTTGCTCAATCCTTTGAATTGACTGATGAGCTTTCCAGCGTCGCGGCTGTGGCCGAGATTTGCTGCAATGGAGCCTTGTAAGGCCGAATGGTTTCCATTCCTCGAGGCGTTTGCCTCAGTTTGGCCATCGGAAGAACCAACGTCGTGGCGTAACAATCCGACAAGCTCGATGATCATCGAAAGAAAGACGATCGATTTTGAGGTATTCGATTGCATACAAGACGACAAGGGAGTGTGCGATTGTAAATCTCGACGGGAAACCATCGACGGCATCGCAAAGCAGAAGCCAACAAAGGCCGAAGAGGACCTAACCCGAGGTTCCACAGAACATTGCACAGATCGTTATTCCCAGTTCACATTCTGCGATTGCATATCCATCGCAGAAAATGCTTGTCGCATCTCAACAATCTCAAGACAGTGCCAAAACTACTCTTTACTGCTCGTCTCGCCAACCGTGCGAGAAGATAACGCTGCTGCTACGCTGCTGTATTCGGATTGAAAACCTTCCAAGAGCAGCTGAAGATGATGCGATCAAATCTTTTCGAGCTTGTTCCATCAAGTCCTGATTCCACGTCTGCCAGATGATAGCTGTAGACGTCGAAATTATACATGAAGGTATAGAGCGATATGGCAGACAGACTCAAATCACAACAGCGATTTTCACTAATCTAAGGCGTTTAAGTTCTAAAGCATTTCTTGAATCTGACCTCTAAAGGTCTCGTCTTCGGGACTTCCGCTTCTTTTCTGATTAATCGGATTGATTAATTATCTATCTACAGCTTTCCAGACCCTCCATTGTCATCACATTATCGTATAACATGCGAGTAATCAGCCTTCTATAAATCACTTCGCCTCCGGGCGGATTCTTATGTGCCTCTGGTGGGTGGCCTGTCTTTGTGCGCGTGCACCGTATCGTAAGGCCGTACCGTGCCGCAAGGCCTTCGTTTTGTACTTGGCGAATGGTTCTGCAGTCGTGCAATCTCTGCCATGCGTCACCTCTCGCCGGCATGTCGGCCTCGAGAACGTTTCTTGAACCTGACCTCCGCTAGCTGGATCACCGAGGCAATTCCTGTCAGTACATACTCCATCCATACAGCACTCTACTAGTCGGATCCTCGACCTCCACGAATCGAAGTCGCTCGAGCGGTTCTCGAATTCAGATTTGGCATGGAGAGGCTCGATGTACAAAGCACTGTCTAAAAACTGTCAGTCAACAGATCGGGAAGTTTCATACGCAGAGACGTATCTCAGATCGTATTCGATAAAACTACATACGATACACCTGCTTACCTGGACATTGTAACTCCGGTTCGAGATTAACCATGGTTAACCGACGGCACCCTCGCCCTGCGGCGCCTCGGCCCTAGAGTCTCGAGAGCTCGCGAATGGATTCCGGAAGTGCACTCTCGCACGTGGAAATTGAACCTCTCGGGCCGGATCAGCGAGCGCTTGTTCCATGAGGCGATGAAGCCACTTGCGGTCGGGGCGAAAGTGTACTGATTGTCATTTCGACTTCTGGGAAAGTGCTCGTTCTCGTGACTGGGGTGCCCGCCTGGCACGCCGCGAGAGCTTCGAGCGCTTGCAGCACGGCGGAGGTCGTCGATCGGTTCAATGTATGCGTTGGGGAGGTTCAGTAGCAAGAGACTCGAACACGTCGGGGTTTTAAGGCCAGTGACGAGGTTGCCCAGCTGCCGGGAAATTGAGCGGATTTTTCGTGACGTTCGCTACCCGCTTCTTCAGATTGGAGTGTAGAGATCGAGGAAGGCTCGAGAGTGGAGTAGAATTCAGCGAATTGTAGGATGAAAACCTTCATGAGGTTTCGAGAAGATATTGCCAACGCGGTGAATTACAAAGCAGCACGGTTGATTCTCACTCGCGTTCATTCCATCGCACCAGGTATCACCAGCCGAGCCACTTTTGGACCTGGCCTGTTGTAAACTGGATTATGACTGCTGATTATGGAACATCGGTCTCGAATCATTGTATGAGTGTCGACAATGTAGAGAGTGAGGAGTACTGGATATTTTGAATATCTACTCACACCAAATAGCTCTACCATAGATCGTGATCCTTAATTTTGTCCAATTGCGGGCTAACTACTCACATTGCGGGTGAGTTTCGAGAGTTCTGTGGCATTAGAGACTTCTGCAAAGTTTTATCTTTGATTGCAAGTAGCATGTTTGCTCTTCAGCTCATATTCAATGGCTTGTACTGGTAACTGTGACTTCAGACAGTTCCGATGACGAATCCGATTCAAATGAGGAGTATGTTCAAGCACAGAGGGTACTCACTATGCAGTCCTTTTCTCTTAGTCACGAAAGTACTGCGTATGAAGTTTCGGATAATACAATTTTATGTCTATCTGTTGCCGGAAGTATGTTCAATTGAGCAAATAGATTCGACAATCCTACCACAAGATAACTATCATAAAAAAACTTGGTTAAATAACTAGAAACGGGGACAGATCAAATTGTTCAGATGTCAGACTAAATATTTCAGCAGTCATGCTAAAGACTTTTGCACTTCGATTATTTATGATGTGCTGAGCAGGCAAGGAGAGAAAAGCGACTCATGGAGGCTATCAAGGCTCTGAAGGAAGACGTCTATCATATAAAGAAAAGAGCTGTTCGGCAGAAAATGAAGCTGATAGCTGCAGACGTCATGCTAACTTCATTAGCTCTTGGGGGATTATGTGCTTGGTTAGTTGTTGCGCATAAGTGGTGGTACAGACCTTGAGCAAGATGGTCATCTCTTTTTCCATATACTGCATTGTAGACCGTTTGACCACTCTTGAAAGAAGTTGCTTGCTCATTCATGGCCAAAGCAGTCGCAGCGTCAGGGCTGATAGAACAGCCCAATGTTTCTGATAACCTAGACCTCATGGACCTCGCTCCATACAGTGGAAATATATAATCTAGTTGTCCATGTCTTATTCTTTCACCTGAAATTGATCACGACAGTTTGTAAAAACATTGACCGAAGATTCCTGATGTTTGAACGGTCGTCCTGTCGACTTATACTCTCATTTATGTACATTTGCAGCTGATGATACTCAAATCATCTCTTCGACCACTAAACCCAGAAGAACCTGCTTTCCGTGGTATGCATCGTTGGATTGATCACCTTACCTGATGTACCTATCATTCTAGTGCATGTTTGCTCGGGTCGGGTGATTTCGCTGGAGGTTTTTTTCACAAGCTTAGGACTATTTCACAAGCAAGAGTTTATACATCCGTACAAGTCAACGGCAAGCCCAGTCGTAAGCCAGCGAATAATGAAGGCATTGAAGGCATTCATGTAACACACCAATGCAATCACTGCGTTCGCAATTGACTGCGTACCTTACATTTCAGATCCCGGCATGACCCTGCCCCCGTTCCTACTTTCATGTCCCCACACGGCTTTGCTGTGTATATGGATTTAGCCTTCATCATTTCAAAATTCTGGTGGACTGCATCGTGCCTTTCTCTGTGGTACGCTTCAACTTTCTCAACGACCCAGCAAGTATTCTACCGAAACCGGTTTTCTACACCATATACGCTTATAATTGGAAACACGCATGACACCAGCTTACGCACTCTTTAGCAAGGAGTGCCTCGAATCTAAACAACCTATTCTTTGGCAAAGTGAGCGAAATTTCACTCGCTCAGACTTATAAAATGCACAGTTTTGAATAGAAAGAGATTTCTTTCCGCGAAGTCTAGCAACAGTCAGCAGGAGTTTCAATCATGAGAATGGCTACTGCTGTACTGTACTCCACCGAGTGAGCCCTCAGAATGTGATACTCACTGGAACTGAAAGCCTTCGCTACTCCGAGAAGGGGCAGAGAAGTCGAACTCCGGTTCTGGCTTTGCACACCTCAGCTTTTGATAACCCATGTGAGGCTCCATTCTAACCGCAGTTAGTGGGTGCATGTGCTGTCACTAGCTCACACAGACTGGCGAGGAAGGAGGGTTGTTACGAACTTCCGCTATCCCTGTCCCGCCTTTCCGTCAACGAAGGGCCAACTTTGTCCGTCGACCAACATTGTCCCGCTCGTGCTATTTCGCCGCCGGCAAATTCGTTCCTGGAGAAAGTGTGCCATGGGCAAAGCCTCGGATGGTCCATGTCACACTTCGCCGGTCACGAGCAGAAAAAGGACGAAGTGAATTTCTGAAATAAAATGGAACTTTGGAGAAAGGGAAGCTTGGAAACACGCCAAAGAAGAAAATGCCAAACCATCGTTAGACCAAGTAGAGTTCAAAATGGCTGTAGCCATCATAAGCAACATGGAAACTAAAGCCAAATGTTTACTCGATTTTCCTCTGGAGAAGCCATCCCGGCTTGGCGACTTGCAAACATGTTTAATTTTAGAATCACTTTTGTTCCCATGACCATATACTCTTCTGTTCAAATGAAATTCACTGTTATGTCACTTACTTCTTTGTTTCTGGTCACGTTCGATATCACTTCCATTATGCTTTGGGCTTGGCTTCAACACTTTAGTTTTCGTCCATCAATTTTAATATAATCACTTTTTTTTAAAAAGCTGGAGCAATCGTTCCAGTGCTCGGATTTCCGATAATTATGCATTTATGGAGATTGCTATTTCCCCAGGTTCGACTCCCGTATATTGTACATCGTCACGAAATTGGCGACCCGGTGAGGAGGGCCGGTACTCAGCCACCGGTACCTCCGGTGGGGGATTCACGGCAGAAGGAGAGAGAATGTAGAGAAACGTGCGCTGGACGGTCGCAGGTTCGGCAACTTCGGTTCGGACTCAGCAGACAGTGCTCCACCCTTCGCTTCGCTTGTCTGTTTGTCAAGGAAGGAAGAGAGGACGAGGACTAGGAGGCCGACGAAGAAGAAGAGGAGGAAGAAGAAGCAGAAGAAGAAGAAGAAGAAGAAAGAGGAATTGTCGCTTTGGTGCTGCTTTTCTTCGTGTGCTTGGCATCGGGAGGGAGGGAGTGAGTGAGTCGAAGAGCAGGCGCTCTGTGTTGCTGCTGCCTCCGCCGCGGCCATCATCTTCCCCGTTTTGTAAATCTCGAGCGGGCACCATGGCCAGCGCTGGCAGAGTTCCCGGAGGATTCCTGGACAATGCTTACCGACTGCTGATGCGTCGCAATTCTGTCTACGTGACGTTCATCTTGGCCGGTGCCGTTGTTGGCGAGAGGGTGAGGCTCAGCGCTTCTCTAGTCGATCGCTGTCCTCGATCGTGGATCGGCCTTGAATTGTAGACTCGGTGCAGTTGTTGGAGACTGACGCTCTGTTTACGCCGTAGAACCCTAATTGCTGTGAATGTTCTACTGGTGCTGGAGAGGCCATGAGAAGGAAGTGCTAGCTGTGGATTGCATCGAGTTCGAAGCAGAACTTCACTTGTAGATCCGACATGATCCGTCATATATATGGTCTTTGAAATGTCTGATACTGAAGGTCACTCGACTAGATTTATTTTCGCATCGTTCGAAAGCTTTCTGTATCGAGAAGAAGTTTTCCTCCCAAACGCCGTATTTCGGCTGGCTCATAGTTCCCTTTTCCCGTCTGTGGTGCTCGCGAGTGTTTAAAACTAGTGAGATAAAGACGTATCATGTCTAGCTTGAATACGAGCTTTAGTATACAGTCAAATGATCAAAAATCAATAATAGGGTGAATTTTCTTTGCTTCAGGCGGTGGACTACAGCATCAACAAAGTATGGGAGATAAACAATGTTGGGGTAAGCTTGTACTCTCTGGAAGCTTCTTGGTCAAGTTGGTGCAGTAAGGAGCCTTTAAATTTCTTATTTATATTTCTGAAATTTTCTTTACTATCATTGTGGACTTTATATTGCAGCTTTTTTTTCCCCCCTTTTTAGTGAACCCAATCAGTTTCAGAATGTATCCTGGTAACAGTCATTTTGGAATCTGTATTCACCAGCTGGTTTACTGAAACATAGTTTATAGATATGTCCATGAATTTATACATTTAGTTTCAGATTCTGACGGTTCAAAGTCCTGGACAAGGTCTCGAATATTGGAAAAGTAGAATCTATCCTCTGGGATAAGTTCTGAGACATTTAGAAAGTCTGTCAATTATCGTATTTTCTATTGCTGACGATTTACTCTGAGGGTTTTGTATTACTAGTAAAAATCTAAAGTTACTAGTACTATCTTCAAAATTTTGAGAATCCTTACTTTCGCCCCCCATAGGTGCGTGCCTCATAGGAAAGTGCTTTCTGCCAGAAAGCTGGATGGATTTACTTCTGATCTCTTTATTGTCAATCTCGACTTCGTCATTATATCTGATGTGCCACTTGTCCACGGCAAGATTTTAATCTGTAGCAAACGTTGTTCAAATCAACAGAACTAAAGAACAGAACCATCACGCGAGAACTGTCAAATGCAGCGAGTGAAGTACCGTAACTTGGACAGGCATGACATTGTATCATTGGAACGTCAGTATTGGAGCCTTAATGAATGACCTTTCCTCTAGTCAATTCTAACAAAGAAGAAATAACCGTGCTGATTTTTAGCTACACTTTTATCTCTCCATCCAGGAGCTGTTGATTTTGTCATTTGCATGGAATATTGACAGAAAGATTCGGTTTTGATCACTGCAGAAAAGATATGAAGATATTCCCAACTTGGGTTCAAAAGTAGAAGGCGCGGAGGAATGATGCAATTTACTGGTCTTGTGTCAACCATGTGGCTAAATTTTTTTTGGTGGCAATACTCCATTCAGGCGCGGCTTCACGGAAAGTTCTTATGTTTCATTTTCTGTTCCTCAAAGTCTAAATTCTATACATGACACTTTCCGTCCTTCCACACGGGCAAATAAAACGCTCCCCCGCTAGTAGTAGTAGTAGTAATAGTAAGAAAGAGGTAATACACCTTATCAGAGGAGCAGGTTGAGATTGTTTTTGTTTGACTTAGTGTTGCCATTCAGCAATGCTAAGACTATCGAAGTAAAACCGACAACAAAATCATCTACGTTATTAGATACCAGATGTGCATGGAATGTTTTCTTCTTTCTTTTGTTTCTAGTGATTGATATTTAATCAAATTGAAGTGGCTTCGGAGTTCACCTGCGTGCTTTCAATGCGTTAGGAATGCAATCCAAAGAAAGATTAGTGGTCACCGTGTGCTGCGTGTGTTCGGTGTCTGAGTACACAATGAAAGTACACTAGTGACCTGACGTTTCTGCTATGTGGCCAAAGTTGAGTTCTGGTCTGTGTTAGTTGTTGGGAACTCTGCAAATCACGTCGATAGTGTTTTTCAGTTTCCTTCAAATTTAAGCGCTGTATATATCGTGACAAGATAGTGAAATTGTGGGAGCAAATCCGAGGAACTGCAAACCACAAGGTAATATCAAGCGTCCCAGGTCGGAAGTGTAAGAGTTAAAGTCCGTCGTTGTATATGAGAGTGGTGAGGGTTCATTTACCGCTGAAGTGTTGTATTCTAGTGAGTGAGCCAACCTAAATGGAGTCCACTGCTCTTTACAGCTAAAGCTCTTCGACAAGAGGGTGGCCAGTGAACGATAAGATTGAAGTTGGAACAGACATCTGGAGGTGTACTGGTGTGGCTCGAAAAGGTCCTCTCGTGAGTTGGAAGACTAACGGAATCTGGAGTTTTCCCTCCAGTTCAGTAAATTGTACGGGTCTCTAGAGTACTCTATCAGGTTTTCTATGTTAGTATCTATTTGTAAGACAGGGAAGAGAAAGACATCAGCCTGTCTCTGGAAGAACAATGGGAAAACGTCCCAGCATATGGATTGTCTCCTCTGAGGCAGTCCAAAGAGCCGTGTTCACCCGGATCGTGGGGTCACTGCTTTGGACCTTCCCGGAATGGGAGGGCAACAACGTTCGAAGTGTAGAAGGTGCGCGGGGCGGACATCCGAGCACCAATCACTTCCCGACCTATGCAGTCGGGCCATCGCACGCCTGACCGTGTCGCTTGCCGAAACTTCCCGTAGAATTCAGAGAGCCGGAAACATTGATCTCAAATTACTATCAAAAGCAAGTAAAGATTAATCTTTTCTTAACTGCTTCCTACTTTTCGGCCATATTTGTGAGATTGGTGGATATATTAGCTAGTATTTAGATAAAGGTGTGACTTATGAGGACGATCTGTAAATCTTGTTTTAAATGTGAAACATTCAAATAACGTAAAAAGTATTACCAATGACGACTGGAAAGATAATGAATCGAAGTTTCAACACGATTTTGTCCGAGCAGAATCAATGAATACACGGTGTGTGAAACGTCACCAAATAACTTGAAAATTGGTGATCCTGTAAACCTTTGGTCATACAATACTTCCATGAAAATTGGATTTTATGATGAACATATAACTTCCATGAAAATTGGATCATATCATGAACATATAACGTGAGAGGTTTTTGGTGGTGTTGTGTGTGATTGAGTCATAACTAATTCCAGAAGAAATATTCAGGTCAGGTCAGATTGCTACTTTCTTCTTGATGGACAAGAGAACGACAGCGTTTTACTTTTGTTACATTTCACTTCAGTCTTTTGGACAGTTGAGTTTCAGTAGTTGATCGCACCTACTATACAGACTAATTGTAAACCCCGAAATATTTCCTCAAGAGGATGGTTCTGTCGATACAATTTCTGCTAGACATCTGGGAGGATTTGCATCATAAACACAACAAACTATTATCACTTTTAGTGTTTCTTTTCTTCAATCACAATACATCCATGTAGAGGATGATCCTTAGCACGTACAACAAGAACACCATTAGAACAAGTTTTCCTAGATCAATCCTTGAAGAGAAGCTAATAATGACTAGTTGATGATATTCCCAATAAATAATTTCTTAGTTTAAAATTATCACCTATATAGTGTGAAAGAACAGCCATCAATCACAGAATTGGCCCTGCTTTCAATCTCTTAAGTTTATCTATGCTCTTAGAAATGCTAATAAATACCAAATCATACATCTGCCCATCTTTATGAAGTCATTATTCCAGCCCTATTTCTACATTAACGTTCAAAATTACTATAATTAACAAGCAAAGTCAAAAGACTAATTTCAAGGAATCACAATTTTAAAGAAATAAATACAAATTATTTTTTAATTTTATATGAGATGCTTCAAAGTTTATATTGTATAATAAAAAAGATGCATTATATACAACACATGTTTTATTATGTTGAGTGATTGACTAGAAATGACTATATTTCAGAATTGATATAGATTATTAAATTTTGAAATTCTTCATTTCTTATTAAGATTAGATTTCATCCTAGATTTCATTTCTTTAAATTATAAGTATTTTTTTACAATTTAAGTTTGTTTTCTAAACATTGAATCCAAAAGATTGCAATTTTTTTGAAATTCACTTTAAAATTATCTTTATTAATGAAAATAATTTATGATTCAAATTTCAAATTACATAAACAAAAGATATGTCATTGAAATAAAAATTTATTAAATAAAAGTACACCATAAAATTAAGCTCTTACTAGATTTTAATTTCAAGAAAAAATTTTAAAATATTATTACATCTTTTTCAAAATATGTGATTTATTTTTAATAGATTAAATATTATTATTGTAGACTTACTTGGTAAGATAAAATGAATATGTATAAATGTTGAAGTACAGAGTTAAACCTCCCAATAGTGACATATATTGGTACTTAGGTTTTCCGTCACTATTGCGAGGTGTCACTCACAAGAGTAAAGTTCGTATAACCTCCTAATAGTAACATACATTGGTGTTAACATTAGATGTCATTGTTGGGAGGTGCATAATTTTAATATAACCTCCTAATAGTAACATACATAGGTTTTGGTGTTAGATGTCACTATTGGGAGGTGTCAATTATATAAAAAAAGTTCATAAATTTTTTATCGTGGAGTGCATCAACCCTAAGACTTTATATAAATGTGTTGTTTGGTTTCAAAATGGACTTCATTTGCACATATGTATTCTTAACATGGACATTATATTTAAATTTAGATTAATACACACAAATCTCAATGAAACAATTAATGATATGTGTAGCAAATTAGGGATTTAGGGTTAAACCCTAAACCTTTACTTAAATCCAGAAAATGTGAATTGTTGAGATTTAACTTTAAATATACCTATGCCATATTTTTTAGTCTCATAACTATGTATTGTGATAATGATAGGAATTTTTACTCTGAAATTACATTTGAAATTGTCACTATTGTATAGTATCATGTCACTAATGGGAATAGTGACGTACCGTTCTTATTGAACAGATTTACAAGTTAAATACTAATGGATCTGGGATTTCACGTCACTAATGAGAGGATGTCACTCATAAGAGGTGACACTATTGGGAGGTTTAACTCTGTACTTGTATTTAATATAAAGAAAATGATATTATTGATACATTAAATCATAAAAATTTATTCTATTTTAATTTAAATATATTAAATTATAAATATAAAATTTTATTCAATATGAATTTTTTATCATTATTTCGATATTAAATTAATATATAATAAAATTTCAATTCATATTGAATCAAAACTTTATTATATATTAATATGTAAAATAATGATAAAAATTGCAACATGCTATTACAAACATGATGTTAAATATCAAAAACATACATACAATAGCAATGTAAACTTTAATCTATATTCAATGGCATTCATATAAATTGATTGAATCAATATGAAAAGAAATTCACCTATGTGCATTGAATAAATAAATTTTATCAAATTTTTAATAAATTTTTTTAACGTATTTCAATTTAAATTTTAAAACTATTTCATAAGTTTGCTTATAGTTCTTGCTTCAATCTTAACAAATCAATTCATAAAGTATAATTCGAGAATCTTACATGACACAAATCATCTAGAATAAACATCAAAACAAGAATCAACACAAGGTGTACCGAAGGTATAACATGATTGAACCTTTGAAGGACTACATCCACGACACGAAAAGTCACACACGTGAGTGTAGAAAAGTACTATGTCATACACAAACCATGGGATTAAAATATCTTAGCATCCACGACTCTTCTAGCTATATTTAGATAGAATCGAGATTACTCCTTAACATGTGTTAACCTCAACAATCTTATCCTTAATTCATGTTAAGGAAACAATAACCTCTGTAATCTATATTATCATTTCATGGGAAATTTAAGAAAAAAAGCTAACAGAAAACAATTCTTTTTAACCAAAGTTAATTAAAACTAAACCGTAACCATAACAATATAACATAATAATATAAAAAGACAACTAATGAACATGCTAGCATAGAGAGAACAATAATGTCTGTAATCTACATAATTATTCCGCAGAAAGTTCTAGAAATGAACCAAACACAAGATCACTCTTTATACCAAGAGTTAACTAGAACTAAATCGTAATCATCAAATAATAGAGTAATTTTATAAAAAGATAACTTAAGAAACTATGCTAGCAAATTATACACGTGTTCTCTATGCACAACTAGCATAGTAGCACATTTTCATCTTAAACAGTCAAAAGAATAACTTTGATTAACACATCAGGTGGATCTTGACTAGCTCAAAAACTACTTGTTTGATAAATTCTTGGCATCGATAAGCTTCGCTCTATTATCCATGATCTGATTGAGAACCAAAAGTAGAGCACTCTAGCTATCACAATAAAAATTAACCACGCTTTGTGTAAATTACATCTCCATGATAAGACTATTGGCCACATCAAAAAACCTAAGGTCCAATGCCTAGAAGCATATCAATCCATACCATGATTTCAGCAATCTACAAATCAATCTTTCCTACATTTTAACCTCAAAGTCAATTAGTTGTCTCATGTAGATATTTATCTTTAAATATTCATAGAAAAACAAATTGTAAACATATCAATATGATCTATAACAAGATTAAATATCATGACCGCTGTACATAAAAGACAAATTGTAGCATACTTTGCTACATGCAGGAAAATTTTGTTGTAGTTCAAATTCTTCGTCTATGTGAAATTGTAACACTATGTTCTAAGAA